TCAGGGAAGGATGTTGCATGTGTTTCTGTGTGTGTGACATATCAAGCTTTCTCTTCCTCCATGGAGTTGAAGAGGAGGCTCAGTTGTCTCACTTGACGACGCACAGAGAGCACGCAAGAGTGCGTCTTTGTGTGCTTGTGCGTGTGCCGTTCCAATTTTTGGTGCTGATCTGCTTCTGTCTGTGTGTTCATGCAGCGCGCACACACACACACACGACTATCATCCTCCATGGCATTAATATTCATCTGTGTGTGCACTGAGCAGAACAGATTAGCAGGAGTAATGATGAGCATGTAATGATAAGGGGACCACAGCAGTCTCGAAGGTCTAAACAGGCCTCCTTTAAACCCAACTGGAAGGAAGCAAGCAAACTCATTACAGCTTAACAGCCATTAGATTAGCATTAGTTCCTCTTTATAGAGAATATTGCTGCTGGTTTGCATGGATTAGCAACAGTGCTGAGCCACTCAAGGAACATCACTGGTCTGGTATTGGACTCAGCGATTTAGCAGCCGCTACTTTACTGTTAGCGGTTTCCATGGCTGAACCCAAATCTCTGACCTGTGGACTGACATCTGGCAGTGTTTAGTTGCATGTACGACAGTGTTCACCATCATCACATCAACTCTGTGAGAGTACCAGACCGAGAAGGGATGAAATATACTAGTGCAAGACATGTCTTAAATACCTCATGCATTTTAACAGTCCTATTGGCAACTTAAACATACACTGATCAGCCACAACATTATGACCACTGACATATGATGCGAATAACGTTAATTAGCTTGTTACAATGGCACCTATCAGTGTGTGAGGTATATTAGGCAGCACATGAACATTTGTTACAATGGCACCTATCAGTGTGTGAGATATATTAGGCAGCACATGAACATTTACTACTCAAAGTTGATGTGCTGGAAGCAGTAAAAATGGGCAAGTGTAAGGATCTGAGTGACTTTGTTGGGTGTTCTTGTCTGCAGTGGTTAGTACCTACCAACATGATGAGGTTGACCTACTGTAGATTAAACTTTTACATTTCCATTCATATTTTCAAAAGATTCCAATTTGTTTGAATCTGTTAAAACAGGTGAAAATGAGAAATACTGTACATTGATCTCTATGAAGAGAAACATTCAGCAGCTATAGTGGTAATGTCACACCTAGAGTGGGGAGGCCGCTGAATGTGCCTAAAAAAATTCTAACTTGTCTCCATGACCACAGATTTCAGCCCATCAATCGATTTTCTATACTGCTTATTCCTGAACAGGGTTGCAGGGGCTCTGGAGTCAATCCCAGCTAACACTGGGCGAGAGGCGGGGTCCACCCTGGACAGGTCAACAGTCTGTCTCAGGGCAGACATGGTAAATGGTCTTATACTTGTATAGCGCCTTTCTATGCTGTGGGGTACCAGGAGAGAACTCACACAAGCACAGGGAGAACATGCAAACTGCACAGAAAGGTCCCATGTGGACCCAGGCTCAAGCCCAGAACCTTCTGGCTGTGAGGTGACAACCAGTTTTCACTCCTTTCACATACGTTTTTCACTGAATGGTCGACACCTTGTGCTCTTCCTGATAGTAGAACTATGGAAGCAAACAGATTCACAGAAGGTGCACAGTGAGCGGCAGAGTGACACGGGTGTCAACCAACTGCTGCACTAAGGTGCACAGTGAGCGGCAGAGTGACATGGGTGTCAACCAACTGCTGCACTGAATCCTGTTTACACAGTATTAGACAGGTGGTCATAATGTTCTGGCTGACCGGTGTATTTACAGGTCTATTACAGTAAATAGCAAATGATGATAATCACCTTTATTTGGCCAAGTATGTTACACACAAGGAATTTGTTTTCGGTACAGAACCGAGGCAGCCATCTGCAACGCCAACTCATATCTCTAGCCGTTGGGGGCAACTTGAGGTTCAGTGACTTGCCCAAGGACACTTCGACACCATCATCGATTCGAATTTACATCCTTCTGGTCGAGAAACACCTGCTCTGCCCCCTGAACCACAGTCGCCCCAGATATGGTCACAATGTACAGAAAATCTATTCCCTTTTGATAAGCTGCCAAAAACAATAATAGATCAGCATTAAACCTTCAACCCAGGATCCTCACCTCATGGATGGACAAACAATGTTTACCCATAGTTTTACAGATTCTAACAAAGCCAAAATGTTCAGTGATTATTATTGTTACAAGATGAAGTTGGGTAGAGCTATGCTGAGTATTATGAGGTGTCACCAAACTTTGTGCATACAATGAAAAGGGTGAAAGTTCTTTGCCCTAATCACACCTAACTAGAGAGAGAGAGTGTGTAGTTGGGGTTTCAGCCGTGCACATCTATCCTGAGAAAAAGATCTAATCAAGCAACAAAATCTTAAAAAAAGAAAAAAAAAATTTGTGTGCAGTGAGGCAACACGTTTGCATTTCCTGCAGGAGAGACACTGACTGAAGTTGTTCAGTAGATTAACAGTGTTACCAAGTTGCTGGTGGATGGGTGTTTACTGTTAACCCTCACTGCACTTGGCCTCAGTTACAGTGACAAGTTGTCATGGCAGAGGTAGTGACAAGTGTCAGGATCAGTGCTAGTGTGTGGCAGTGCACAAGTCTGCATTTATGCATTAGCATACAGATGTGTTTGTGTCTGAGAAGCTGGGGTGAAGAAATGTGTGTCTGTGGTGGGGTGGGGGCATGGTAATCTACTCTCACACATCACAGATCAAAAGCCAAAGGCAGCTGCCTGGTCATCTCACCCTAGCCCACCCTGGTGGCGTATAATACTCTGGAAGGGCTTTAACAACCCACAGATACACATACACACCAAGATGAAACAAATGTTGGAAGGGAGCAAAAGATGCTAACAGTTACCATAAAAAAATGCTACAAAGCTAGAGGGAGGGAGGGGGGGGGTAGGTGGCGTTAGAGAGGGGCGACAGCGAATGGAATCAGCTCTATCAATATGTTGCCAAGCAACACTCAACACTAACGAAGCTGGGTTTGATAACTTGTTGATATCAGCGGTGGGAGAGCAAGTGTGAGCGTGTGTGTGTCTGAAACGGCAGTGTTATTAGCTTAGACAGTGAAAGAGCACCTACTGAGACAAGCCCAAAGCCCAGATAAGGGGAGAGACCCTCTGTTAAAGGCAGGGTTACCAGCGGACCTCAGGAACTCACACGTACACACAACCAGACAGAACAAAAGACCACTGCAGACTGAATGAATCACACACCAGGAGAAAAAGAGTAATGCTTGAACATTTGTGTTTGTTTTTTTTATTCAACCTTTTTTTTTTCAAACCAGGAATGTACTAGCTTTTTCCTCTCTTTAGAGGTGTGTTGGGGGGGGAAGGGGAAGAAGGAGGTGGTTCAGGGCTCACTATGATGAGTAGACAAAGGCAAAAGGAGGAGAGGGAAAAAGGAGGAGAGGACACACACACACACACACACACACACACACACACAAAAAAAATCCTTCTCACATAGAGGTGTCCCAAATACAACCTCAACACATCACATACGAGACCCACCTCTCTCCACGGCCTCCGCTCACTGGCTAATGGCACAAAGAAACACTCACACACGTACACACACACTTTCAACAGCAGTAGAGAGGTGAGAGAGCTAGGTGGTTCCCCCCTCCTCCCTCCCCTGTTCCATGGAAATAGCACTTTCTTCTCCCTCTTTCCAACCTGACAACCAGTGGTTGTGTCCATGGTTTTGAGAAAAGCCAACACTTTGAGTCGACCAGTCAAACACAAACAGTGAGAGGCAGAGACACAACTTTGAAATAACATCGACATGAAACCAAACAATTAAAAAAAAAAAAAGTTGAGTCCAAGAGATACTTGACATTCTGCTGAGAGGGAGTGGGGAAAGGAAACAGACCGAAAACAGAGCAATGGCTTCTTTGTTGCAGTCAGTGCCGTAAAGTTCGAGAAGTTTTGTTCACCCCCTCATGGCAGTAGCCATTTCGGAATAAAATACTGTAAATTTGCATCGGAGTGCTCCAAAGAGTCAGAGAAGTTGCTGAAGAGAGAGTAACAGACACTTCATTTGGCTTGAAGGATTATTTTAGGTACTCTGAGCATGTTTAAATAGACACAGAATTAACAGCGTACATAAAAACTAAAACACGGTAGTTGTACAAAAAGAAGAATCTGAAGCGTTTTCCACACATTTCATTTTCAAACTCAGTTTTCTTACAATCAAATACAATCCAATCTGATTCATGGTTAAAAAAAAAAAAAAAAACATCTGAACATCATCATCATGTTGGTGAACAAAGTCATTTCGAACAAATGTTGACACTTAAGTATGAAAGATATCTCGTTATTTGATGATACATACCGATACAAAACACAGTTGAGAAATGTCGAAAGGTCCAGATTTGACACTGGCTTTACACACAAAACATGGCTACATCACTGGAGGCCTTATGTGTGTGTGTCTGAGAAAAATAAAAACCAAAGCTTAAGCTCTCCACTGCCAAACCAGTTTACACATAAGCCATAAACATGTTTCAGCAACACAAAACAGCTTTATTAATATGCACATGTGAACATATTGCACCTCTGAACGCAGCGTTGTGTTATTGCCCTCCAAGGTTGAGGTGCTGGGCACTAGCGTGTTTGTTTGTGTGAGGGCGTGTGAAAGACAGAAGAAAACACACCACACACAATCACTCTTTTCATCCCTCCCATGTCCATCGGGTTAGGCTTAATCACAGAAATACAAAGTCATATGAAAGCAATCAGCATATTTAAGAGTGGGTTAAAGTGTGTGTATGGATGTGTTGTGGGAGAGCAAGCGGGAGTGACAGAGAATGTATGTCATTCAATGCAACCAGTAGGCATTTGTGACAGTCATTAAAAGGTGTGAAATTTGTGTTGAGTTCTGTGGGAGGGTGTGTGTGTGCGTGTGCATGAGAGTGTACTGACCGCCTGGGGGGATACTCCTGTGAGTGTGTCCATGGCTAGCAGTATACTGTGTGTGCTTCCTTAATAAACGAGAGAGCATGTGTGTGATACAAACTTCAACACAAATTTTGGCGGGAAAGAGGAGCAAGTCTGAAATGTGCTGCCTCACTTTAACGTAAAGTGTGACAGAGTCACAGTAGGGGTGTGTGTGTGTGTGTGTGATGAGATCTGTCCTTTGCACGGTTAGAGTTCAGCTCCTCTGAAATCAGTTTTTGCTGTTGGTCCATTGCTTCCGTTCAGGAGGCTCAGACCCTCTGTTTAAAGAAAAGGTTTCTCTCCGTCGCCAGCCACTCTTTCATCTGCTCTCTCCATCCTTCCTTCCTTCCTTGGGCTCCTTCATCTCTCACTCCTGCTGCTCCCATCCTCCCTTCCCTTCAGCTTCTTTTTCTCTAGTGTGCAATTCCTTCACAGCTTTTCTTTCCTCATCTCCCTCGCTCCCTTTTTTTTTTAAGTTCTGCATTCAGACGCTGCTTTATTCCTCCTCCCCAGACAGCACTCTCTCTCTCTCTCTCTTGCCCTATTCCTTTTCTTTTATTCTTTTTTCATCTCAGCCCCCGTTTCCCCACAATCACTGCCTCTCACTTCTTTTCACTTTTGCGTTTCAAAAAAGTGATTGAAAAAAAAAAAACTTTCATAGATGGTTCTACCTCAACACTTCCACAAACGAGGTCTAAACTTCAAAACTACAACATAGTACAATGAGCTATAAAAATATACACAGAATTCAGAGACCCTAGAGGGGAGGGGGAAAGAGGAGGAATGGAGGGAGTGAATGAGAGAGGGAAGAGAGAACCTCTGATCGCTGGGAAAATTAAAAGAGGGATTAAATTAATATACAGCACAAAAGGAAAAGGAAACAAGGTCGTTCTAAGCTGTGAAAAACAACAACAGCAGATTAAAAAAAATGTCTAGCAACAAAAGTGTAGTTTAAAAGAGTGGGTAAAAATAAAGAATAGAAAACAGAAGAAAAAACATCTAAAAATTATTTACTGGATATTCATATATATAATCTATAAGTGTTGATAGCGATAAAAAAAATCTCTTTTTTTGATATTCGCTCACTATTTTGTGTTTTGGTATTTAAGACAAGTCTAAAGAACACACGTACACAGTCACTCACACACAAAGCGTACACACGCATACACAAACTAAATCTCATACACGCATATGCACACTTGCTGTACTGAAGCTCACTAACTGCACACACACGTCTAATGTGGAGCAGCAGCGCCATAATTATTATCCAAGTCATATGCACACTCACAGTCACTCACACACACACACACACACACACACACACATTATTAAAATATACAAGATTCTGAGTGTCACCGATTTGTCAGATCGGGGCCTGGTCCTGGGCCTGGTCATGTGACTGTTGCCCGGGCTTTCCGATTGGCCCCCGTTTTCTCAGAAGGAACAGACAAAAACAACCTAGGATCTTATTGGTGAGTTAGTGGCAGGTGCTGGTCTCTGGTTGGCCGATGGAGCTCTGAGGGGCAGTGCGGTGGGCTGGGCAGGTACAGCCTCTGGGTGTCAGAGTTCTCTGGCGCTAAGTGGGTTCAGGGGTGTAGTGTTCTTTTTAAAGTTGTAGTTCTTTTCTTTCTCTTTTCTTTTTTAAAATATCATGTCCCAATGCCAGGTCCATACTCCTAGATAAACAGTGTGTAGACACCTGCATTATGGGGATGACTTATTCAATTCAGCACGGGTGGAGCTCATTTAGCTCCGAGTTAATAAGAAAAGGGCACTCAGAGGCTCTAGCCCATTTGTGAGGGCCTTGTTAAGAAGGGCTATGCACCGTTATGCCCTTAACACACACTTAATAGCCCAGTTGTGTGAGAGTAGGGTGGGGTGGTTTATTCAGCTAGGAACAACTGCGGCTGGGGGTGGGGGCTCACAGGGGGCGAGTAGGGTCCAAGGGACAATAGTGGTAGTACCGAAGGGGTCCAGGTTTGGAGCTGTGATGACAAGCTTTGCTGTGGCTTTATTTGGAGCAGGGAATGATTGGCAGTGGGTGAAGGGAGGTGGGCGTGTCCAGTTGGCTGGATCAGCGGCCATCTCATACTTTGTAGTAGATGTTGGCTGGGCTCTGAGGCGGCATCTCCTGGACAATGTAGACGGGGTGTCCGTAGTCCCCGCTCACCTTCTCGTAGTGCGGGCAGTAGGCTGAGTCTGACGTCCGCAAGGGAATGATGATGTCACTGGGCTCGGAACCATTGTTGTTGGAGCTGGTCATGCCCCCACCCCCGCCCCGCTTTGGGCTGGTGAGTGAGGACAGCGACAGCGGAGGGTGGTGAGTGTCCGAGTGCTTGGCGTGCCGCCGTCGGTAACACACGACACAAATCACAGCAGTTACCAGCAGGAGGAAGGCGGAGCCTCCCGCAGCACCAGCAATGAGGGCAATGTTGGAGGGTTGAAGGGGCCCGTTCTCGCCACCGCCCTCGCCCCCAAAGCTGTTGGGTCCTCGAGACTGGGTGGAGTTCCCTGTGCCGCCTGAAACAAATCACAAAACCTTACTCTAGTATTCACAGTATCACAAGCTGCTTTGAGTGTTTCCCTTTGATTTATATAGGCATATTAATGACCATGAGTATACTGTACCAGAGCAATAACCCAGCTTGCTTTCACAATTTTTGTTTTTATGAGATTTGAAATAAACATACCAATCCTTATGGCTCTGTACCACAATAACATGAGTAACGGTGCTGGTTTGTTAGTGCAGGCTGCAGAGATGTAACCCAGTAGAATGTTATAAGTATGCTGCAAAACTCACATAAGCTTATATGCGGTCTCTTTATTGATGTGATGAAGTGGACAGCAGTGCATAATAAATGGAGAATAATGTCTGTAGACTGTATAGTATATACTCTTGTGGACAGCTTGGCTAAACCACAGTGTGTATCAAGGTAACACACTCTATTTCCCTAACCTTAACAACTATATTTTCTTAGCATTACACTCAGCCACATGAAGAGAGGCTCCCTGCTCTGCTTTTACCACCAGACCACACATTCCGCCTGCCTGCTGGCCGTCCTGCCTGCTGGCCGTCCTGCCTGCCTGTCTCTCCTTTTATCTGTCTGTCTGTGCATTAAACTGTCTGTCAGACTGTTTTTCTGTTTGTCAGGCAGTTGCTCTCTCTGTCTGCGGTGTCTGCCCGAACCCTAAGATCTTCACAGCCTCAGCGCTCACAGTTTTCTCTGCAGGAGGCTGGGTCAGAACTCAGCAGGTGGATGAAGGTCCGGAGGTCTGGATGTATGTGTGCATCTGTTCTGGCACTGACCGTGTGCATGTGTGTGGCAAAATGGTTAAGGTTGGTAATGCGAGTCCCTGCTCTACAGAGCCTTTGGATTGGTCTATCATTATTCTTGGCACATATCCCCATCTCTGTCTCTCTCCTGCATCTCCTCCACGGCTCCGTGATTCTCTCTATCTTTGGGTTATTGTAGCTGTAATGACCTTTCTTGTTCTGAGCTCAGCGCCTAGCAACACAAACACACATACAAAACACACATGTATAAACATACAAAACCATGCACGCAAATATACGCGAACACACCTCATCCCTGTGCTGCTAGGCCCCCTGTAGTGCCGGACCGACTGGGAGCAAAGCGTTAATGCCGGATCTTGATTTCTACTCCCTTCTCCCCCTCTCGCTTTCTTCCTTCCTCCATTAACCCAACATCCTTCATTTTCTATTATGACCACAGCCTTTCACCGGCAGTCTTTATTATATCCTCTTCCTTCACCCCTCCTCCTCCAGCATCTCCTATTTTCTACTTGTCACTCTCTACTGTGTCCCCTTTTTTTTATCACACAAGTTCAGACTTTGATGCCTTCTTTTCCTCCTGCGTCGGTTTTTTTTTTTATTTCATTATTGAATTCCACCTTGGAGAGAGATGACCAACAGGCCAGAAATGAAAGAACAGGTCAAGGTGATAAAAGTCTTGTCCTGGTTTATGAGCCAGCTGTCTTTCCCCTTCTAGTCCTTGAGTACAATTCCCATCCCACTGTTTTGTAATGTTAGACACACTAGTTATAATTACACAAAACTGTTGCTGTGAATCTGTGACAGTGAATCAATGCATGTTTCCATCAACCAGCTTTATATGAATACATTCAAGAGGATGTGACAAAGTTACATAATTAGCACCAGTAACTCTAATGCATCATGCCGTTTCATTGCTGCTTCCCACTTGTTTTTTCCTATGATTGAATCGTCTCTTTTCACGTGTAATGGTGGTATTTTATCAGCCACTGTGGTGATGTAAAAAGGGCTTGATATGTGCCAAGGGACCCTATCTGGACATGTACCAGGAACTATGCAGTTGCATAAACTCGTCTTTCTATTCTTTGTTTTATTGGGGGCTGTAATATAGAGTAACATGCTGACACGAATACTTTATCTACCGTATAAGATGCAGAAGCTGTGTGTTAGAAAAATCTAAGGCTGGAACCTGTTGGCGTTTTAACTAGTATGTCTGACTAAATAAAGGCTTTTATTCATCTTTACTCCTTGCTCTGCCTGAGAGTGTGTGAAGAGTGTTTTTCTGCATCATGAGCAGTGGTTAGACAAATCTTCTTTTCTGATATGCCTATTTTTTACCTCAGTCAAGCATAAAAATGGTTTCATTTGAAATTTCTGGCAGATGCACTCAGGAAAAGATGAATGGAAACATACCAACTGTGCCATTAACAATGGTAAAAGTAGCTGACTTTCACATCACACAATTGTCTTACCAGAGATCAGTGTAAAATAAAGCTATCTGTATCTAAATTGGTTTAAGTCACACAACTAGCTGTATCTGGTTTTATATGGGAAGTAGGCAATGTCCATGTTTAAGGACAAGCGATAGGATAAGGGTAGAAAGTCCCTTTCGGCTTTTCCCGTTTAGGGGTCGCCACAGCGAATCATCACACTGACGACTCGCATGTTGACATTTGGCACGTGCTTTACGCCGGATGACCTTCCTGATGCAACCCTGATTCGAACCCAGCCCACAGCAGCGATAGTATGCCACACACAAGGAATTTTGTTTCCGGTACAGAACCGATGGCAGCCATCTGCGGCACCAACTCAACCGATGGCTCTAACCATCGGGGGCAACGGGAGGGTTCGGTGTCTTGCCCAAAGACACTTCGACATGTGGCCTGTAGGCACCAAGATTCGAACCTTCAACCTTCTGGTTGGGAGACGACTACTTTACCCACCGCACCACTGTCGTTTGAGATTATTGAGCCGTCCCTGGTAAACTAGTGGTTAAGACGCAGCGCTATCGCCGCTGCGGACCGGGTTCGAGTGAGGGTTGCGTCAGGAAGGGCATCCGGCATAAAACGCATGCCAAATATCAACATGTGAGTCGCCAGTATGATGCTGTGGCGACCCCTAAAAGGGAAAAGCCAAAAGTGACTTTCTTTCATTTGGACTGTTGCATTAAACTCTTAGTTATATTACTGTCTCATTAGTGTTAAGTCCTACATGGTGCCAGTTTTCAATATCAGATCATGAGGTAAAAATAATACCTGATGAAACTGATGACTTCCACATAATAAACCCTGCCAAATATCTGAACAGTGAACCTAAAACTACTGTATCTCGAGTACACCATTATGTTTTAAACAAACCAACAAATAAACAAACAAAAACATGAATAACCAGCAACATGGCAGATATTACCAGAGATGATTTGAGCATATCCACCTGAGGATTAGAAATTCTGGCACGGCTGCTGTGTCAGGAGTCACAACAGTTATTTTAGTTATTTTGTTAAGTGTCTCTGAGAGTCAAAAATGTGTAAAACCCCTCATTATGTGCACAATGTAAATCAGTCTTGTAGTGTGTCCAGTGTCATTTGTCTCATTCTAGTAAAAACCATGCATACTATTGTTGCTTACTTCACACGTACAATTCTCACCTAAGTGAGGTAGAGACAAGTGATTGGAAAATGTGCAAATGCTTAAATTCACACGTTTGTTATAGTACACAAATGGCCTACCAAAAAAGAGGGAGGGAAATGAACACAACTGAGAGTGAGTCATGTTCTTTCTGCTCCACAGAGTGACTGCAAGGTTGGACATAAGTGTGGCCTCTCTCCATTTCCATCTTCTTGCTCTGTTCCCCTTTCCTATTTGCTTTTCATTTATTCTTTTCTTTCTCCTCCTTATGTGCCTCCCACTCCTACCAGGCTATGTTCTATCACTCCCCAATGTCTCTTCCTTTTGCTCCCCTCATTTTTAGCTTTCCGTCTTTCTTTCTCCCTCTTGACGGATCTACAGAATCCAGGCCGCCCAAACTAATGACAATAATAACTCTCTGAAATGTCGCCGCCGGCCTAGCCCTTTCTCCTGCTGCCCTCTCTCCCTCTCCCTTTTTCCTACTAACTCTTTTCTTCCTCCCCCTCTTTTTCTTGTCCTTCTCCCAAGGTAGCTATTAGCCATCCATTCTCCGCCTGCAGCACTTAGCTCGGAGACTAGGAGGAGAGGGATAGAGAGCAGGAGTGAGAGAGAGAGATGGAATTAAATAGAGATCCACAGATGTCACCACTGCACATTCTCCATCTGTCGCCCACCCCCTCCCTCTCCCTGCTGCTTTTCTTTATCTACCAGTGTCTGCTTATTCCCTCCATCCATTTTATGGATGGATCCACTGTGGATTATCTCCATTTGGTCCCCCTACTTACCTGGATTTCTGCTGGTGGTGCGTCCCGCTGGCTCCTTCTTCGGAGGCAGCCCATATGGGCCTGGGGAGAAAAAATAAGGGTGGAACATGAGCAGAATGGCAGATATACTGAGACAGCCTTGTTGTTCTACAACAGCCAAGGCTCCATGAGAGCTAGGAGAGCACATATTGATTGGGCATTGATGTGCCATGTAAGAGCACTTTTCTATTTGTTTGAATGGGAAATTAAAGAGAGGCCATTGGCTGTTTTGGCCAGAGTGAATTTACACAAGGCCATAACGGCTTGTAATCTGTAGTTGCTAAATCAGGCCATCTGTCTCGCAAGCCCTTGGTAATGGTGATGGCATTCAAGTGCGTTTATGTGACACATGCACATGCACGCACAAATGCAACCACTCCTCTGCTGAAAATGATGGTTTAGAAAATTCTTCTAAGGCATCTGGCCTACAGCAGGCTGCAAGAAGAGAGTCTTCTGTTCAGATATTCAACCCAATGTAGGCACTGGGTGCTTGTGGATGAAACTGTATAGTAAACCCATAAAAACACACACTGCCTCACTACTGAGCATGTGTGCGAGCACAGCCTATACATACTGACATTTCGAAAAGTGTACGGCTATTGGCCAGCAGCTCCCTCATGAGAGCCCATCAAACAGAAGTTAGGGGTGGTGCTGTCTGGATCAATAGGAATTGCTGTGTGGTCAACAGGGGCTAGAGGAGGGAGGTTCAGACTGTGTGTGTGTGTGTGACAGAAACAGAGAGCAAGCAAGATAGATAAAGAATAAAATAAGAGAAGACAGGTCAATGTATGTGTGTGGAGCAAGGGTGCAAGTGTGTGTTTGGCGAATGTGCAGGTGTGTGTGTGTGTGTGTGTGTGTGTGTGTGTGTTCCTCAGAGCAGAGCAGAGTGCCATATCTCATCAGAGATCACCATGAGGCGGCATGCCGCTTATTTAGACGACAAACAACCCAGACGTGACCTTTCAGCCACATAGCAGATAAGGCAGAAAGACAGAGGGAAGGAGAAAAAAATAACAGAGAGGGGGGAGCTGGAGGGGGAGATGGGCAGCATGAGAAGTAAAAGGGAGGTGATGAGGACTGGGAAAAGGGGAATTTGAAAAGGAAGCAAGCAATGTTGCTTTAATGAAAAGGCAGAAGGAATAGGACAGAAGTGAAGGACAGAGAGAAGAAAGGAGAAGAAGAGAGGATGAAACAGGGACAGAGAGGACGGGGAGAAAAAGATGACAAAAAGATGGGTGGGTGTGTGTCTTACAACTTCACAGTGTTGTGTAAAAGCAGCAAAGGGTTTGGATATGTGTGTTTGAGCAAAGTAGCAAACACTGCCCATGTGGTGAAAGAGCCAAGGGAAAGAAAGTGTGTGCGTGTGTTTGTGGGGTGGTATTCTTACTGAACTGAGCTGACTATGCTGATGTTATGGGCTGATAGAGAAACAGCAGCGCCAGTTGGCTCTTTGCAGAAGCACACCTATGTACAATACACAAGGTTTGATAACACAGCACAGGCTAAAGAAACAGAAATAGGAAAGTGTGTGTTGATGTATGTGTGTGAGGGGGGTCGTGTGAAGGACAGGTGCCTGTTATCTGTGTAGAAATGCTTAAATAGGTAAATAGGCCTTTTGTATCTTTTTTTTTTTTTTTTTTTTTTAGAAAGCCTGTTTGTGTGGGTCATTACCTGTGAATATTTTCCTCACTAATTTGAAGTGTGTGCAGCCATGAGTCATTAAAACTCCCTGACTTTAACAGTGAAAGGCCTCATTTTGTTCTCGTGCTTTAGCTGGCAGGTTTGTGTGTGTCCTGGTGTGTGTCCACGTGCCTACACGGTCACTTGAGGTTGCACATCTTGGTCCGTGTAACATGCTCACATCCCTCACATCTGTGTATGTGTGAACTAATGTTTAAACCTGTAATGTATATACTGTGCAGGGATGTGTGTGAGCTTCGGTGTGTGTGTGTCCAGCATGAGTCAGTAGTACTTAAAAGGCAGAGTGAGAAGGGAGTCAACAGGGCTCATTACTGCTGACTGATCCCACACTTCTTCACTGTTCACCACTTAACAAGCCCTAATATGCTCAGCAAGAAGACACACACAAAGAAGTAGTGTGTGTGTGTGTGTGTAACAAAGAGAAAGGTAAGAGAAAAGGTTTAAAAGTGGAAGAGGGTATACGTCAGGTAAGTAGCAGTAATGAATGTGTGCTACTTTTTAATGTACAGATGGAAGATGGAAGTGAGATTCAGTGGACTAGAGCCAGTGTGTGTTAGTCATACTGTGTGCTAAGTGAGCAGTCATGTGTGATGCACGAATGACAATGTGTGAGCGAGTGAGAGAAGAGGAATCCACGTGTGGTGGTGCTACAGCAGTTGTACACATGGGAGTGCTCACGAGTGGGAGTCTGAGTGCACGTGGGAGAATGGAAAGGTGAGAGGACTTACTCTGTCCCACTTTCAGAACCACCTTCATGCCTTGCGTGGCGCACACCCCACCTCTCATGCTATCCAGGCCTTGGCGGGTCCCGTCTGACGTAGCTAGAGGGATGGAAACACAAAAATTAGTCAAGTAGCAAGGTGGTATACACAAACACGCTCACAGTGGCAGCCCAAATGTTAAAGCCTTGCAATCTATAGCCAACAATAACATCTGTTCATATGGTCTGCCATTCGAGAGAGAGTCAGCAAGTGACATTTGCAGAGGCAGCAATTTAAAACTCCACCAGAAGCTCTGAAATGTCAAACTACAAGACGGCAGCACTTTAATAAGTCCTCATTTAGCAGCACGCTGGAATTCATTAACACCCCCACCGTGCTGCATGGACTCAGCCGCCTTCAGTCAACTGCAATGTGGGGCTGCAAAAAAAAGAGAGGGGGGGGGGGGGGGAATCTACAGAGGCAGAGACTGGCTGATGGAAAAACAGAATGGTAATCCAATCAAGGGCACATATGACATAAAATGGAACCCCAGAGACATAAACCACTGTGTGGAGAAGAAACTGGACCTGACTGGTTAGAATCTGTGGTGAATGAGTTAAAACTCCACTGGGTACCAGCCCATCACTAGCTCAGCCTGTGTTATAATTTAGTAAATTAAATAGAATTCTTTATTTGAAAGTGAGGGACTGGTGTGTTAAAAAGGAAAAGAGAGATTTGACATGAATATTAAGCTACTGAAGATTTCCTTGTGCTGGAAAAAAAAATGCAGCAATTCAATACAAACAGCGGTTAAAGTGTCCGATTTCAACATGCTAACCAGATCAGGCAATCAAACAAGTTTCTCTCAAGTGAAGCCAAAGGAGGTCAAGCAGTGCTGACATACAGGAAGAAGAAGATGATGATGTGTGTGTGTGTGTGTGTGTGTGTGTGTGTGTGTGGATGAGGCTCTAACACTTGTTCTTACATAAAAGCATGGCAGTGAATGCATTAATTATCACTGGTCTGCAGGTCACGGAGGCTGTAGGAGGAGGACGATACATGCACAGAGAGAATCAGAGCAGAGAGATTGGAGGAACTGTAAAAACAGAGGGAGAGGGTATGAAGATGCAGAGAAAGTGTGAGAGGAGAGGAAGGAAATGAAGGATGGATGGAGGAGGCGAGGGATGAAGAGATGAGAGGGACCGTGAGAGTGAGAATCACACCTCTAGTGCATCAGTTGTACAGCCCGTATCCATATTCCTTCATACACAAAATGTTACCAGTATCCAGCTATGACTTCACTCACCACTCCATATTACGGCTCCTAATTAACACAAACCTTGTCTTTAAAGTTTGACCTGATGACAATCAGTACACAGTGGCTGGTAAAGAGGAAAAAAAACAGCATACATGCTCTTCCTCCTTTCACAAACCCTCTCGCACACCACCCATCTATTCTTATATTCCCCATTATAAGCCCTCAGGCCTAACCCTCCCCTTTTCTCCTTAAAAAAAAAAAAAAAAAAACAAGTTAAAGAAATCATTTTGCCCTGCCACTTTCCTCCAGTAGATTGGCCTGTCTGAAGTGAAGTAGAGAGGGAGGGATGGCGGGTGGCTCGGGAGAGAGAAAGAGAGAGGGAGAGAAAGGGAGGTGTGAAAAAGAAGCAGCTTTACTTCTAACACCTTCCTCTCTCTCTCTCCCTCCATCCCTGCAGGATGCAGAGTGTGAAAGCAGGAGGAGGAGAGAAGCAGGCGGAGGTCAAGGCGAACAGCAGAATGGTGGAAAAGCCAGGAGACAGATGAAAAGATATATAAAGGTTTCTATACAACGCTGTGAGAAGTTCATTCCTCAAGTGTTTCTACTATTTGCTGTTACAAAAATATTTAGAAACCCGACTTTTTTTTTTTCTGTGAGACCTGTGTAGTACTTTGTGCTACAACAGGGTAAGAGGAACATTTAATTTATTTTAATGAGGTTCAAATCAATGAAAAGTAGTAGAGGGTGCCAAACTAGTTTTATTAAGGCTTAACTGTGTCATAGAAAATCTATAGCTTTGGCTCAGATGTCAAGCTTAGGTTGTTTTGAACATTACCCAGAGATTCTCTGGATGGATGTAGCATAGGTTCAAAAAAAGGTTTAATGAAACAAAACATAAAAAGCATTAAAAAAAAAACCTTGTGACTGGACTTTGACTGTCCACTTCCAATGTCCTGTCTACTGTCTGATTGATTTGATACATTCATTAAAATAATTTCCTGATCAATTTAGACTTTATGTAAACAGATTCACTTTGGTTCACTCTTCTAACACGACAAACTGGACCTTTAAAGGACATGCAAGTGGGGTCACATCACGTTTTGCCAAGTCAGAAACACAATACAACTGTTACCTACATTATAGGTAAAAAAAAACATCATTTTTCAGTTTTATTATTTGGTTGATTAATAAAAAAAAGATTATAAAGATGCACATAATTTTATATAATTCAAACTGGGTATAAATTGCTTTGCAAACCATGTACATAAAGGCAACCAATGAGTTTTTTTTTCTACTTTCTATAAATATGAAAAAAAATGGTACAGCTTGCATTCAGATTTTGGGTTTTGTACCAAATTATGCACACAAATCAAATTTTTTAACAAAGTAATTCAATGGATCATTAATTATGTGTTCTTTTCCTAAGGCTTTATGCCCTGAAGTACAAAATTAGGAACATTAATAAACCTATTTTCTCAATTATCTTAAACATGAACATTTAAAAACAGACACACATTCAGAGCAACTATACATTCAGAGCAACATGTTTACATTATTCACCTCTGAAAGAAACCTAAAAAGGAAACATAAGAAGGAGATGTATAAGAGATTACATTGTTTTACCAAACGCTGCATCCTGGGAATGCAGAACGCAATAAATATGACTATAGTGATGGTTGGAGGACGGAGTAATTACTCTTAACTGGTCACAGAGAAGGGTGAAGGACTTTGATTTCTAAGTGCAATAACTGCTGATATACGAAGGAGGACAAGAAGGTGACAGGAGATGAGGGAGGTGAGGAAGACTAGTGTGAGGAAAGGAGGAGGCTGTGTGGGGAAGTGAGGCAGGGAGACCGATTGCCTGTGACAGGCTGTTGGTGATATGATGGGGACAGGAGACTATGTGAGACGATAGAGACGACCCAGTGTGCACAGGGAGGGTAGAGGGGCGACAAGATTAATAGAAAGAGGGAGGGGGAGGTGGTAGAACAAAGAGAAAAGAGACAAGTTAAAAACAGAAACTAAGGAAAGAGTTTTAATGACATGATAGATAGCAAAGAGGTAAAAGACTCTAATGTCTCCATTATGGAAAAGTGGAGCAGTAATGGATACAAAGAAGAGGGAGACACAAAGGGAGACGGAGCCTGAGAGTTGGAGAGCCAAACTGAACCAGGAGAGTCTCCACAAATGTGATTTTGCAAATGCAAGCTCTTCTTTTTTCACATCATAATCAACAGGTCAGAAATATCACAAAGACACTTTCTGTTAAAACAGTGAACTGCATCACGACAAATCCTCTTGAAGCCATCAGGTGCCACTATTTCAATGAATCTCAATTTCACAGGAACAAAGTGAACAAAGGGATCATAGCTGGCTTGTCCTTGGATTGAAAGCAGTCCCCCCTCCCGTTGCCTGGCTGCTAAACAGTGAAAACACTGAGAATATCCTTGTACTTGAAGAGGAGAAGATATCACCAAATCAAGGCAGAAACAATCACAGAACATTTGTGTGAAATCCTGATGAGAGACAGAGATAAGAGCAGGAAAGATGTGGAGATGTAGGAAGTGGTGTGCCTCAAATCCTTCCCACCTCACTTAGGGAGGACAGGGATAGAAATATGACAGTGGGGAGGACTGTATAGAGCAATTTGGGATAAGATGAGATGTGAAAGGATGAAGAATGGTGAAAGAGAGAGAGAGGGATAGAGAGAGAGAGAGACAGACAAGAGGGAGAGGAGAGATGAGTAATTGAGACAATGATCAGCAGTGATGGGGGGATGTGAAGCGCCCAAGGATGAAGGAGAGGAAGGGCGTCACTCTGACACCCTCATTCAACAGGAAGGCGGGAGGGAGAGGCGGAGGAAGTGGACAAATGTAATTAATGAAATAATACTGCAGTCAACCTCAATCAGATTGCACAGTGTCGGGGCTTTGCACACAAGGAGGCAGTCAGGCCAGGGGAGGAGTGTGAATCTAAGTCTAGAGAAAAGATCCCAAAGTGGGCGAGAGTCCTTCTTTCCAAGGTCGACGTTGTGCCAAGCATCTTCGCTGCTCTCCTTGTTGGTGCTGTAGTTACCCACCATTACGTAGACGTGAACGGTGACATAACCCCAACATCAGACTTTAATTCACTGTCACTTGTTACAGTGGACTACGCAAAGTTACTTCATTTGCATTAAGATGCAGTTCAGACCTGCGTGTTTACCCTCCCACTCTATCCCGTCCTCCTCTTGTGGTGTGTTGTGCAGGCCAGGTTTTACATTCCACACATGCTGAGTGACAGCCAGCTTCCCGCAGCAAAACACTTGCTCCTGTGTGAGTGATGTGAATTTGTGTACATGCTGATGTTGTTATTTCTATCACATCCTTCTGTCTAGTTTGGGGCCTGGCTCACATTTCACTCTGCTTAAAAGTCACAAGATGTGCCATTTTATTGCCTGATTCCACATATTTCTGGTTGAAATGGGGTTTCGCAGATGTATTCATAAAAAAATAACACCATTATAAATTATCAGGATTTCCAAGGTAATGATAGCATAACAAAATATGCCCATTAGTAATAAAGCCAGTTAAAATTGCATTTATGTATCTTTACTTCAAAGAACTCTGTCCTTGTGCCCGATTGATGTTCTAGTACATTTTTTATAAGACTGACTGTAAATAGAATGAAATGAGGGGGATTTTCCATTCTCACTATTTATTCCAGCCCTGAGAAGTGCGTGGAGTCTTGCTCTCAGGCTACAGTTACCTCCTCCACCAAATCAGAAGGTAGGATATAAACCCAGATGAAGCCTGAAAGCCATAACCCAGGGCAAAGAAAACCTGAAAATCACTTACAGCTGTATGAAAAGCTTAAAGCTGTG